GATTTAATTATTATATAAAGTCGGTCGCTTTTATTACAAACAAAATTACGTCTGTATAACGTGTGAAATCACTAATACAAAGTTATAAGGCGTTTGTAAATAGAAATAGGTATATATTTTTAAGTTACTATACTTTTTCAGCATATAATTTTTCATAGGTACTGAACATATATTTAGGCACAAATATTTATTCAAGCAATGAAACCTTGGTTGTTACCTATTTTAATAATAATTATTACACCTGAAAATTTTTAATCTTTATAAGAAGGACCTTGTGCAGGGGTTGATTTTCCAAAAATCCTTTTTTGCGTATCTTCTCTGCAAAATAACCCTACTTCAATAGTTAGCGCTGGGCGATGTTGAATCTATGGATTAAAAACTACATTTGAAAAATTTTAATATTTCTCTAATCTGTGACAAGTAATCTGTTGCGGATCTTCCTGATATGTAATATATATGAATGTTATGATGTAAATAAGCAGAACTATAAACCATTTTTTTTTTTTTTTTTTTTTATTTTTATTTTTATTTTTATTTTTTTTTTTTAAACTCACACGATTTGTATACATTATAATTATATGCAATTATATGCAATATAAGCCGGTATCGTACGATCCAACTGCGAGAGTTACAAGGAGAATACGTGCTGTTATCAGGGATTATAAACACCTTTTCACCGAAGACATCTTTGAGAACCTATACAAGCCGAAGATTGTACAACCACCAAAATTATACGGATTGCCGAAAGTGCATAAGGCCAGCGTTCCACTGAGACCGATTGTGAGTCAGATTGACTCACCTACTTATTATTTGGCAAAACACGTTGCTTCCGTACTGCAACCCCTTGTGGGCACTACAACATCCTTTGTGAAGGACTCGCGTCATTTTGTACAGATCCTTGATGATACAAAACTGGATCCGGATGACGTAATGGTGAGTTTTGATGTTGAGTCGCTGTTCACCAAAGTTCCAGTTAAGGACTGTCTAGAGGTTGTTAGGATGAAACTTAGACAAAACGATATACCGGAAGGGTACATGGTTCTATTACGGAACTGTTTAGATGGCAGCTATCTTCTATATCGCGGCAAACATTACCTTCAAATTGATGGTGTCGCCATCGGTAGCCCCGTAGCGCCACTTTTAGCCAATATATGGATGGAACATGTCGAGTCATTGATAGATTACCAGTCACATGGGATCCGTATGTGGAAACGGTATGTAGACGATGTGTTCTATATCCTGAAGGGCGACAAACGGGAGATTGAGCAGTTCCTTACACACGTCAATAATATCCATCCGAATCTCAAGTTCACCTATGAGTTAGAGAGTGACAAAACCTTACCCTTTCTGGACGTTAAAGTCATGGCGCAAGCTGATGGGTCCCTGAAACACACTGTCTACAGGAAACCAACACACACAGACAAGTACCTCCACGCTTCATCTCATCATCATCCTCAACACCTACGTTCTGTGGAGACAACTCTTATTAACAGGGCTAACGCATTATGTAATACTGACTTCTTAGCAGATGAGTTGTCCCATGTACAGGACGTGCTAAGGAAAAATGGATACAGCGCAAGGAGGTCATACCCTATCCGAAGGTGTAAGGAAAGACTACCTAAGGTTCCCAGGCAACGGGCATTTTTAGGCTATGTTAAGGGAGTAACGGACAAAATCGGTTCCATTTTGAGGAAAAATTTTTCTATAGACACCATTTTTACTCCTTTATCAAAAATGTCACACCAATTGCGATCACCAAAGGATAGTATTCCTTACCAAAAACCTGGCGTTTATAAAATTGACTGCAGCTGCGGTAGTTCATATATCGGACAAACGAAGCGGACTATCGCCGAACGTGTAAGAGAACACATAGCAGCGGTCAAAAATCGTCAAGTGGAGAAGTCCGCGATTGCAGAGCACTTATTATCATCTGGATCAAACCACTGGATCGAGTTACATACACCTCATGTCCTTTCCACTGAACGACATTACTATCCAAGGATTGTTCGTGAAGCGGTTGAAATCAAAAAACACAACAATTTCAACCGGGAAAGTGGATATAAACTCTCACCAACGTGGAATCCGGTTATAAAAATGTATAAGTGTCGCGATCGCAAACAACCACGAACAATATTCTCGGATACCGTAAGTGCAGTGTGTCGCCACCTTTACGTTTAATAAAATCAAGTGGAGGGTACATCTGAAAATCAGTTAAAAACATTATTACCGGATTACCCTCAACTAAAATCAGAAGACGACACCCGCCAGTTCTCCAGTCTCCTCGTGACCACGGCTGCTGTAACGTAGCCGAAACGTCGAGGTAAATTAATTGTTTTAAAAAATGCACGAACAAGACCCGATTGCATATAATTATAATAAACCATTTGTTAGAAACACTTAAATGTTAAGAGTGGGGTGTGGCTTTGACAAGTAGGGGTACGATATGTTATATGATAACAAACTGGTCGAGCCACCCCAACGAATGTTAGACGGGTCAATTGTGCATGAATTTGTAAGCTCTCCAGCCCTCAAGAATTGAATAAAGAATAAGTGAAAATTATCGAAGCAGTTTTAATTATACAGTCCAGCATCGGCTAGCTACGTGAAGCTGTTCAAGATCAGGAAGATCCGCAACAATACTAAGGTAGGTGCGTTGCGATCTTGCCCGACGTATTTATGTGGTCAGAGCGAGACAGAAGATCCCGTGTAAACTAGCTTCGTCTAGTTCGAGTTAGCGACCAATTAAAACTCCACCTCATATAATCATTTAATTAGCTTATCCTACAAACTTAAATTACCTTAACACTATAGGAATAAATACACCCAGAGGTTGTATCATTTAATATTACGTACATATGACTAAACCTACTTATTATATTTATCATTTTATTTAAGATCATCTAACATTAAACCGACGAGACGCGCGTCCGTAACATATTCTGTGATAAATAACTTTTGACTAATATATTAACAATAAGACAATTTAGTTATAGAAATAAAAATCTAGAACTTCTGTTACACTATGGTTATACTCAACATTAAACAGTACTTTTTAAAATTAAAGAATAAAACCAAGTAAATCATTGAGCGTGAATAACTACAGATATTTAGTCCGCTCTTCGGTCTGTCAAATAATTATCTATAGTTTGTAATAACCTTCATCCTTCACATGAGCTTTATACTTATGGAAAGCTATACCTAATATCTTGCGACTCCAAAACTACTTTAAATATTCTTTCACCTACCCCAAGAACTCAAGAACGACCCTTCTGTTTATACCAATCTTAGGGCCAGTTTTTTGATCCGTAGTCAAATGTCATTTCACCATTTGTTAACTTGACTATAGTTAAAACATTAACAAATTGTTAACTCTCTATTTCGTTTTTTGATGCCAAATTAAACCATAGCCAAATTTAACCACTGGCCAATTTGTTGCCAGCACAATAAGTCGTTTTTTCGCTATACATTGACATGGGTAATTTTTTTCTGGGTGACAACACTAACGGTTTGAATGAACGGAGCGAACTATATACCATTTTTGACATTAGGATTTTGTTCCAAATATCAAATAGAAGAAAGATATCTATAGATTATCAAATATATAGTTATTTTTCAGGAAATATAAGGCAATTTCTTTGATAATGTTAGAAAGCAACAAAGACATTTTTGTCCAGTTATTTTAAATTTAACTTTTTTATAAAAAGCATATATTTGTTTTTTGTTTATCTGATAGAGAAATACGTGAAAAAAATATAGTATTTAGTATACAAGGTAGGATTGTAATATTGGAAAATAAATCGAGGTCTATGTATTTTATGTACTTTAGGCATATTTACCTTTTGTATTGTCTATTCGTGGATTTTATAAGATTTTAAATAATTGAATAATTTGGCATATGCCCGTGGAAACAAGAAAAAATATTTTTTATAATACAAATACTAAGGATGATCAAGATAAAATATTTTCAATAACCCTATAACCCAAAAATGACAATGAATATTTTCCTATGAAATTGCATCATAAAACGAAATCTCAAAAATAGCTAATTTCCAAATTCACTGTGAAATCATGTAGGTTATAAAAACAACGTAAAAAACAATAACAAGGGACTAAGTAAATACAACGCAGTTGTACACCATTGGTCATTTACTTAACCTAGCTTCCAATGATGGTTAAATTTTTTGACAAACGATTGTAATTCTGACAATTGGTTAGGCTAACTATTAATCAAAAAACACATTTTTCTGATATTTAACCATTTGTCAAAGATTTTAACAAATGGTTGAGTTAACCTCGGATCAAAAAACTTGTCCTTAATGGAACAACACGTTTGTTTCTATATATAATACAAAAATTAATGGATACACTTTTATACTTATTTATTTAACAAACTTTATTGACAATAGAATTAGTACAAGAGGCGGACCTAATGCTAATAACATTCTCTACCTTTAGAAAATATAAAAACACGGTGGCAGCATAAAGTCAATTAACAAATATACTACTTAAACTATATGTACCCATATTTACACATAGGTATACCATGTAAATATAAATTATCAAAAAATCCGACGAAGCGGTTTGAGAAAAAGTAGGTAGTGCCCTTGTTCTTCGTTAGTCTTTTAGCTAGGCTTTGGCGTGACACTGCCGTGGCCCTAGATATATTCATAAATGTAATGATTGGCAATAGGTATAAATATAATTAAAATATAAAGTAAAATGGAATAGGGTGACCAGACGTTTACCGTTCATCACCCTCCATAGAGAGGAACATCGGTGGGTTTCAGTGGGTATGCATGCTCCTACATTTTGCTTAGCCCCTCTCAGGAGAGAGCCCCATTTAACCTTGTGGACCCGCGCAGGTAAAACGAGAAATGCAGTAATGTCCCCATCGTAGAAAAGGATATTCCAATTTAGACGAGTAGACTAATTTCACATATATTTCACTGATTTCAAATATTCAATGGACGAGTACGTGATTTTAAGTGAAACAAAAATATATACAATAAAGTTATTTATTATTAAATACTTATCTTTACATAGCTGAAGAACATTTGAAAACTTTAACAGACACTTTAAATTTATGTAAATTTTTCTACTTTACCTCTTTATATAGTAAATTAAAATAATCGATAAATCTTAATTATGGCTTAAAATGCCAGGAACAATTAGAACTAAGACTGTAATTAATGTAATCTAAACTTATTAAAAATGATAAATGTAATTTTTTATTTTTAACAGACTTTTATAGAAAATGTATCAAATTTTCTTAACGAGTAGCTATTTAAGTTTCCGATTCTATTTTGGTAAATCATTTCTCTCATACTGTAGGACCTTTTCATCGACATGTCCATTATTATTAATTAATGTGTTAGTGCCAGCTGCCTCTTTCTTCACACCATTAATGTTAGAAGAACTACTGAAACTGGATGTGGAAACTCCTACAAAATGCTCGTTGTTGCCAGGCGTATACTCCTTCAGGTTAATAGGAGCTACTGTAGGCATTGATGGCATTGGAGGCATGGGTGGCATAGGTGGCATAGAAGGCATGGACGGTATAGATGGTGTAGGTATTGTGGTATAAGCAGGGCCTGGTGGCATCGGTGGCATTGGTGGCATCGCTGGCATCGGGGGCATTGGTGGTATTTGTGGCATCTGTTGGAAAAAAATTAATAGAAAAAACTGTTTTTACGGTTACTTTTTAAGATAAGTGACATCAACAATGTGAATGTACGTCATTGACTGAAGAAAATATTGTATTGATGTAACATAATTAATAACTTATTTATATCTTATTTCTGACGTTTTCAATTACTTTTCGATACCGTATTGATATTTTATTCTATAAAATAACTATTTTTTACAATAACATTTAATTGAAATTATTCACGATTAACCTCACTTAGGTAAATGAATTAACATGATCATGATTTGAAAAACCAATAATGATTAATTCATAAAAAATGAGTTCATTTTTATATGATTATGGAAAAATGTCTGAGTGCAAAAGTGCAGAGAATAAAAAATAAAATCTTAATGAATCCAAGTGCAATTATAGTGCATGGTTAAAAAAAATTATAGGTACCTTTATCTGAAACAATAAGAATATAAACTATTAGAGTTTTTATTAAAACCCTCTAAAACTATGTTCGTCTTTGCATTTCTCTATTACCTGTATCGTTCCGTATTGTTCCGTTTTATTATTAAGTGTAAATGAAGTTTTACTAAAATAAGTGTTTAAATTTAGTATAGAATAAATATTATCATATAATTTAAAGTTTCTTCAATTTCTTATGACGATGATATTACCGATGGAACTCTGAAATAATAAATTAAAAATTAGTATTTTTTAATTTTCTTCAAATTATTTAAATATATCAATAAAGTTGTAAACGACGGAAAATCAACCCTTGTTACTTACGGCATGGGGTCATTCAAGTTTGGAGGATCATTTCCATCTGAGAAAAAGAGTAAAATTGTTATTTCTTATAATAATTTAATGTCTCCACCACCACCACCACCACACCAGCCCTTTTACGTCCCCACTGCAGGGGCTCAGGCCTTCCTTATAGATGGTTAAGGAGGATGGGCCATGACCCTCCACGCTGGCCCAATGCGGATTGGAGGGTATTGACGACTGCAAATGCAGCCGGGACCAACGGCTTAACGTGGCTTCCGAAGCACGGAGTAGCTCGAGATAATAATTTTTTGGTCACCCATCCCGTGACCGACCCTTGCAAAAGTTGCTTTACGACTAAAATTTTATTTTGGTAATTGAATGACACATGCGCAAATTTCAAAGGCCATTGCGGCAAACAAACTATTTATGTGTCTGAGCAGTGTCGCTATATGCTAATATTGATAGGTATGCACATGTAAAATAAAGAGAAAGAAACTTACATGATTCTTTGTGTACGTCACCATTGTCGTTAACTAAAATAGTAGAGCCTCCATATTTAAGAGGTTTCCCATTTTCTCCTCTGATAATGGAACTGCTGGATCTTACTACAACTCCATTATACACTCCGTTTGGTCCAGGTTTAGCGTTTTCTATGTCTTCAGCAGTGGGGATCGGCGGAAAAGTTATATCAGGCATTTTTGGGAAATTAACATAGTTAAATGGAAATCCTGGTCCAAACATTGGCATTGGCGGCGGTGGCGGAGGTGGAGGGAATGTCATTCCTGGCATCTGAAAATATTTAGCTGATTGTGTCGGCGTGCGCGGATATGTACACACTGACAAATATTATTTGTTCGCTAACAACAACATTATGAAACTTTTATACACGTGTTCCCAGAACAAAGACGAACATAATGAAGAGGATGTTAGTATTACTTGGTAGGTAGATTTGAGACACAAAATTTGTTGGAGAGCATTTAATCTAACGAGTTAAATGGCACACTTGTGTAAACACTCACCCTAAAACTTGATTGAAACCTGTAGAAAAACAAAAGAGAAAGATAAAAAAGTGCAAAAGAGCTTTTATAACTGAAAGCTTTATATAATTGAGTATCATGGCAGCGACACCAGCAGCGCTTCGGGGACTGGCCTTTTCAAATCGTAAAAGGAGTCACCAAAGTGTATTCTACACGAAACTAGTATGATTATAGTTAATATCACTGAATGTCGGTAGTGATCCAACTTGTAAATATTCTTAGAAGCTTCACCAGATCTAGTTATCCAAGCCATTGTCTCTGCACTTGGAGAGGACGACTTGGCTTGTTGTTAGATATATTTTGACACAATTTATCATGTTTTTATTGGAATCTGTATTACTGGAATCTGTAACATGCTATCCCAATGAGATATTGTCCTATATGTCAAAAGGAACATATATTCTTAAGATACAAGCCAGCAAAGTTGATTGGTGACACCATTAATTGACTCTTAATTACAAACGCATAAATTTATTAGGTATCTATATTTTATATTGTGTCTTGAATATTTTGAAATGAGGTATGTCTAGAATTTTTATTGCTAAACATTTATACGTGTACGAACATTAATTAATAATAATCTTTTTTGTAGTTAAATTAATATTATTTTGCATAGTAGATGCAAAATTTACCCCTAAACGGATTTTGACAGAACGTTAAAAGAAAAAAAATATTGAAGCCCACACTTAAGTAGCCTTTCCCAAATTATAAGCGATAATCTGGTAGTTTTGTGTATTACTTACGGCGAATATCCAGAGGCGCCGTCGCTTACCCAAACATAACCAGCTGCGGGAAAGAAACAAAACATGGAAAACAATATTCTGATTTTATAAAAATATCAGCTAAAGCTAAAGCTAAGAACTAATTACACCCTGTTCCTCATTGAAATGAAAACTAGGAATTTGATTGCTTACTAATGATATTCAACTTAAAGAGGAAAGTATTCGAATATGGAACACAGAAAATCTTTTTTAGATTATATCTGATAGAGGAAATTTTGTACAAGTGCAGAATCACATTCAGTTTTCGAATTCGCTACGCTTTCATCAAAATTGTAAAATAATATATAAAATAAATAATTTAAATGGTGTTTCAGTATTCCATTTTAGGTATACTATTCCATATTTTGTTACTTTCCTCTATGATTTTTTCAAGGTGATTCATTCTTCAAGATCACATTATAGTAGGATATTATTCCTGACGTATTCGATAGTGCAATAAATTGACGGTCAGTCTCCAAATGCCGAGATTGTTTCGCAAAGATCGATCATCCGATTGATGACCAAAAACGTATTATCTTCCCGGTTCTATTTCATTTCAATACATATAGAAAATATTTTTTTCTGTATTGCCTCAAATTTTTGTGTTCTAATACATTCGTTGTTTCAGAATTATATAATTTAACTGATTTCGCTACGCAATTTGGTATCCGAGTAGTTTTATATTTATTTGTTTTGTTTTTAGCTTATTCGTGCTTTAAAAGGCACGCTGTGGTTATATCTAACACATAACTGAAATCTTGATTTTATACGACCAAATTCATTGAATACTGCTGTCACAAAATAAAACTTACTGCATAGAACTTACGTGGAGACTTAGGTGTGGCCTACTATCCCTATTTAATTGTTCGCTATGTTAGGCCTCATCAGTAATAAATACTGATAATAATTACTTATTTCAGGTCATTCAGGTGCTTTTTCTTCGCATAAGATTTATGTATTTAATATGCAAATAGCTTCTTTACAATGCAATAAATACGAAAAAGACATATTTACTCTAACAAAGTGATTTATCACTTTGGTAATACAATATTTTAATATCGTTACAATTGTATATCTACGAACAAGACATAAATGAGTAAGTATGTGTGCATAAATATATACACACAGAGAAACTTATATTACAACATTATGTGATATTTCCACAGATCATTTTAAACTCCAATTACAATACAATTAGGTATAAAATCAAGTGGAATGCTTTTGTATAACCTGACGTGCTGAAACTGATACAAAACGAAATAAAATGTCATCGGAACGACTTGACAATAAAAATAAACATTGCTTTATTTCACTTTGTATGTTACTAGTGATACTTTTGTGCATGTCTCTATCTATAATATATTATCTGTTATAAAAAATATATAGTCCTTATTTATGGAATGACTTTTGATTAATTTTCTAAATCATCTGTGCTTTAAGCTTTTAGACACTTACATGGATAAGTGCAAGTACTTATTATTAAAATGAAAAATTGATATAAAAACATCAAATAAATAATATTATTACTATTTTAGTACTAATCGATTTTTAAATTCAGAAAGAATAAATGTAAAATTATAACTTCTATTTATATTATAAGATACAAAAATAACTATCTAATAATTACAAAAATGTAAAAAAAATATTGCAATGTACTTTAAGTAGAATCACCAAACAAAAAATTGAAATTTGTGAAATCGTTACTTGATAATTAAAATTACTGTTTATTAATTGTTTAACAGTATAGGCATCTGTTTTACATATAAAATATATGCAACAACAACTTACACTTTATCAGCTATTACAAACTTAAAAACTAAATATATGATTAAAAAAGTTATTAAGATATTATGAATTTAAAAGCCTTTGATCTTTATGATAAATAAAAAAGTACTATGATTAACATAACTTCAGATGAGTACTATTTTTTATTGTATTGTAACTAACACTTAATATCGAAAGTTTCCCGAGAACTTTATATGAATATTTCTGTGACCTCGGGGCTATAAATAAAATTAATTTTGTCTAAAATTCAACTACATTGTATTTGTGATAATTAGAGATTATAAATAATACCGTATACTTTAATTTAGTAATAATCTTTTCTATCTTTCATAAATATAATACTCACCATTAGCCGCAGCCACAATACAGACAATAAGTATTGTCGTGAGCGCCATATTTATGGCGAAACAAATAAAATGGCAATAAACTTATGTAGTAGAACACTTAACTAGAACAGTCGAATATACACTGAATAATCGTGGGGCAAATACTTACTTATGTATCAACATAATGTTGTTCACCAAACAAGCTGTATAAATACTGAAGCCAATGGATGTCGCGCTTTTCGGCGAAGTTTTATATGAATACTCCTTCGTAGAATACTTACATTTGCTATACGATATTATTCACGATTATTCATTAGAGTAATACACATGAAACACATGTATGTAATACATTGTACAGGCCGATTCTCTAACCCAAAGAATACTGATATGATAGTGCATATAAAAATTAGGTACTTACACTTCGGTGAATCCGTGGATACAAATAATTATAGCGGAACAAGAGCGAAAACTGCACTCTATTAAGAGTCAATTTCAAGAACTATGATTATTTCCTAATTTCCGCGGACTTTTCAATTTAAAAGTTTTATCTAATCTTTGTTAACGAAACGCAATACGTTCTCATTTTATATGCATTGTTTTATAGAGAATTATATAGTTACTAGCTTTCGCCAGCAGCTTCGCCTGCGGGGACCCTAGGGAAATGTTAAGTGGGATAAAAAGTATCCTATTATCTAAGTATACCAAATTTCATCAAAATCTGTTCAGTAGTTTCGGCGTGATTGACCGACAAACATCCAAACATCTAAACATCCAAACAAAGAAACTTTCACATTTATAATATTAATAGGATATTATTTAGATAAATATTTTGGCCACTGAACGAAACCACAGATATTGATTTTTTGACATTGAAATTGTGTTAGTGCCACGGAAATTATGTTATCCTCTGAAATATAAAATATGAACAAAACTATTAATAGTTAGATTTTGAACTATAAGAAAGTGCATATTGGATAACGATTTCCAATTCCTTGGAGTTAAAAATATTATATTATATAATTTAAAGCCTATTTGTGTGCCTAAAGCCTATTATAGCGTGAAGTTTAGGTGACATTTGTGTGAGTGTAACCCTAAGGTCACAAACTCCCTGACCTAATTCAGGAATCTAATTCTAAGCGGTGGCACTATTAAATTGATAGTATCAATAAGTTTCCACAGATGACTCTCTTTCTCTCCCTTAAGTATTATTTTTCTCTTTGTTTTGTATAGGTAGGTACGGTTTATATCATATCAGAATATTTCATCGATTTAAATGGAAACTGAAAGCATCTTCTTTTCAATCATCATCCCTTTTACGTCCCCACTGCCGGCATTCTCTTTTTATATTGGATAAAATAAATACCTACAATCTTTATTGTAGGTATTTATATTTTCGAAGAAAGTTCGTGATTTTACATTTATGTAAATGTATCAGGAATTAGTCATTGCTTTATTAAAAGCATATGATTCATGACTTACAATACTTCAGGAAATTTGATGTGACTCACTACAAATATGAGTTGTAGATTAGAATTATTAATTCAATACTAATGAATTATTAAAAAAAAACAATGCTTTAATAAGAATATATTACAGATTTAAAGATTAAATGACATTGCCATATCTGAACTACCGGGTTCGATTTCTGATCGGCTCGATGTAGAAAATGAACTTTTTTTCTACTCGGGCTTTTGGTTCTAATATTAACCACTTATACAAACACTTCGCCTGATTTCAATAATACTTGTGTTATTTCATATGTGTATAAGATTTCATACACATATGAAATAACACAAGTATTATTTATCACGTTTTTCAAATCTAATATATAATAATTAATTTTAACAGAATACTTTAACAGAATATAAATATTAACAGAAAATCTTTCAGGATTAATGTTTTTCAATGATTTTATTTTATTTTCTATCCAAATAAACGGTTTCCTGAGTATAAATTTACTGTCAAGTCATCGTGTCAATTACGCAAGCGTAGCCACTAGCGAAACGTAATCCAGTAAATGTGATAGTTTCTTTGTTTGGATGTTTATCCGACAATCACGCCAAAAGTACTGAACGAATTTTGGTGAAATTTGGTATACAGATAGAGCATTAACTGACTTAGATAATAGAATAGTTTTTATCCCACTTAACATTTTTAATAATTAAACCAAACTAAACCACGCGATCGAAGAGGCTGGCGAAAGCTAGTTCGTATACAATTAAATTGATCGTGTGCTTTGAAATCAAAACACTTGTCAAATAAATATTAAGCTTAGCTCTTCTCACGACTCTGCTCATTTTTTTGTGTGTAAGTCTAAAATCAATACGATTATAATAAATGAAAATGGCTCAACCCACAGATAGTATAGATTTATTGATTATATTAATGTGTTTACATATGTAGAAGCGTCACGCGAATGTTTAAACAACTGCATGATGCAACGTGACAGAATCCAGAACGATACCTTTTTATTATCATTGAGTATTGTAATATAATTTGTGATTGCTTTTTGCTTTATAATAACATTCAAAACTTGATGTGTAAATGAATTTCCTTTTAAATCTTCTAATATAACTACTGCTTTTGGTGTCATCTCTATACTAATATTGTAAAGAAGGAAATTTTGTTTGTTTGTTTATGATAACGTCTCCGACTATAGGACACCTATAGGAAGCTATATCATACACGGATCGCAAGCTATTTACGCTAACTTTCGTCGTAACTTTCTTAAAAGCTATTAATATTTTAAAAATAACAATGTCTTGATGAAAAATGGGAAAAATAATTCACGGAAAAACTTCCAATTGAAATCGAACCCTTTTATTTCAATTTTATTGTCATGAAAATATAATAGGTTGGGGAAATTTGGGGCATCCATTTTATCCGTAACAGGGCGACCAGAGCGATGACCATCTTTGGCATCAAAATTTCCGGACTGAAAACGCTTAAACCAAATTTGTTATGCTCTCACAGAATCTGCACTAGGTCCATAAACGTCACAAAAAAAAATTTTCGCGGCTTGCGTTGCATTTTTACCTTTACCATTTTTACAATAAAATTCTAAAATGTATCGAATTTCTTCATTAAATTCATTCATTTTGTCAGTAAGAAAAACAAATGAAAATAACACATTTACCTAATTTGAATTTGGAGTTATCTTCTTAAAAATTTAAATTGTTTTAATGATACAGAAACCAACTAGAAACAAATGGTATAGCAAGAAAGATTTTATTACAATAGTATGCAAACTATATGCGAAAATACTTTTTCCCCAACATAATACATATTGAAATAACTACAAAAACATTAATATTATACCATGAAGTTAATAGTACCGTTTGAGATTTCCAACAGACACATTTAAATTACATTTTATGACATTTTGAATTAGTCCAATACTCTTTCCTTTATATTTTTCAGTTTTAACCAACTTCAAAAGTTTTCAATTTGTTAACTTCAATCGATAAAAGTAAACATCACATGTTGGTAGAAAAATACGGTCCTCTCTGCCTACTCCATTTGCAAAGGAAGAAGAGGATAGATAAATATATAGATACCTATAGTACCACCTAGTATTCTAAAATTCTTAACACGTGGATCTGTTTTAATAATTATGTCTCACCTCGATAATATTAATAAAGAGAAAACTATCTGGAAACGGAATAAAAAAAAAAATTTCAATTTCTTTTACAATTATAAAATCTTATGACTTTACTTTTTTGCACGACTTGCCCAAAAAAAGAAGGTTAAGGTATTCAAGTGAGTTTCTTTATAACATCATCCATCTTTTGGATGGATCGTAACCATGATAACTTTTGAAAGAATTGACGTATATATCGCACACCTAGATCGAAACTTTTTTTTGACGCTGAGAAATGCGTTACGCATACCCGCTACATCCAGCGCGGGCTTCACGGGTTATGTGGGACTCCTCCTGTGGCCCTACCCCCGAAGGGGCTATCCAAGAAACAGGAGTTTACCCACTAAAACTCAGCGATGTCCCTCGCATGGAAGGCGATGCACGGGATCGGCCCGGAGGCCATACACCGTGCGGTTCGCCCCCATTTCGGCCCGCCCTGAAACGGGCAGGTCCCTCAAGGGTTGGGAGTACGCCTCAGAGACATTCGAGACGCACCCCCCAGACGAGGTGGAAGCTGCCCCCGTCTAGAGACAGGTGATGCGCAATACATCTCCGGTCCCTCTTACCCGTCCATTGGGAGGACCCACACAGGCAGAGCCCTTATCGTGGGTCCCCCCCGCCCCGTACGATCGCGGCTACCACCGGAGTACTGCTCCACCACAGCCCTGAAAGAGGCGACCTAGATCGAAACTGAGACAACTCAAAAATATGAGTGAGTTTTGAATTAGTACAATATTCAAATACTCGGTGATCATACGCATCTATCCAACAAAACAGATTCAATAAAGGTTCGGGAATGAGCCGCTAGATAACTCTTTTGTTGAATCAACAGTGGTCGCGCTCCTGCCACGTAAACAAATGTATTGTCAGACCTCCACATTAGTTTTTTGAGTTGTCTTAGTTTAGATCTATGTGTGCGATATATGTGTGTGGGGCATCAGAAATTTTTGGTGAACGTTCTGTGGAACATTTTTAATCTAAGAGGTTCCCCGGTTGCAATGAGAATTGTGTTTATCCAAGTCAGATTATAACATTGTTTCTTTCATATTAAGATCGATTTTGGCAGTCATGTCCTTTTCTTTTTCTATGGACACTCAATGGAAGAGTCGTCGCATATAATCACATTTCACCGTAAGATGCTACTTCATTATTTTGTTATCATCTTACGATTAGCATCTTATGACCTAGAATTCAATCGATAGCAAAGAAAAGGTTTTTCAATCATTGAACATATTCACATTAACTTTGCCACTGTAATCTTAAACAGTATCCGGTTCCGTATAAGAATGGTTTAATAATTTATTTATTAATTTAACATAGTTTCAACAGCAGTTTTGTTATTTTGATACAAAAAATAAGTATATAGGTATAGCATTGACGCTAATTATAGAAACTTATTATGAAATATTAAAATTATTAATCATCAGAAGGGTAGGTACATATATATATATATATATATATATATATATATATATATATATATATTGTATATATATTACACGAC